CGTGAGCCCCTACTTGGCAACCTGCATCCGTGCTTCGCTCTGGGGGTGGGGAGGTTGTCCTGGGGTCCGGGACTGCCCCCCAAGCCTCCGTGAAAGACTTGCCCTCAGCTGGTCACCACACCATCACCACTCTCCATGGTTAATAGAAAAGTTCTGTTAACAGCCTGGGGCGTAGGGAGGAGAGAAAGGACTCTCTTTCCCAGCCCCAGCGAAGGGCGCCCCCACCTCCACTTCCCCTCAGTCTACGCCCCTTTGCCCTCCTGGGGAAGGACACCGAGTGAGTGGACCGCCCAGACAGACCTCTGAGCACAGCAGGCCCATCTGGTTCCAATCAGGAGCGCGGGGTCCCGGCTCGCGGAGAGTGTACGTGGGAGGGAGGCCAGGGCCCCATTAGCACCCCCAGCAGCCCTGCCATTGGGTCGCCTTTCACCTCCCAGAGGGCTAGGTGAGGCCGGGAGAACTTGAGGGGCATGGGCCTGACTTTTCCTACCCAATAGTCTGCAATGTGAGAAATGTCCAAACCTGTAAGAATTTTTGAGATTTTTTTAGTATAGGATAGTGAACCGTAAACAACAGGATAATAATGACAAGGAGGGGATTTGTGGTCTCTGCTCTGGTGCAGTGGTTGGGTTTTGAGGGGTCTGGAAAGATAGGAAATTACTTTGATATTCCGAAGATAGGTTATCGGGTATGTGATCAGAGATACAAAAAAAGACAACACAGGCTCAGTGAAGGTAAAGACTGACCTTTGTTAGGGAAAAAGACTGGCCCAGGACGTGACTACCGCCATGAGCTGCGTTTAGTTAGAAAGTTTTCATTTCAGACCATCCTCTGTGGTTATTTTTGGCCTCTGAGTCTGTAAGGCCGGCTGGCAGGCCTCCCCTGAGCTTGTCAGGGTTAGTATGTGGCCCCTTTTTCATCCACAAGGCTAAGCACAGACCCAGACCTCTATCCATAGTTGGATGTCCAGACCACAGAGGAGAGAAGGGAAAGAAGGAACGTGGAGAGGGAAGAACGGGGAGCAGAGTCAGAGCAAACGAAGGGCCTAGAACCCACCAGATCCCAGCTGAACCTTGTTAGAAATGGGGAGCCAGAGGTCCTGAAGAGAAAGTCTAATGGCCCCGCCTCCTGGCCGCTAGTCTTCACAGGCACTCTGTAGATGGGAGTCAGCAGTCCCATTTGACAGGGGGGAAACTGAGGCTCACAGGATTGAAGGTCTTACCTGCTCGACCTCACCCAGCTGGTAATGACCAGGTCTGTGTGTTTCCAGAATGTGGGCACCAGGCACCCTAGGAAGTCGAGGCTGCCTGAGCAGCCCCACGCCTGAGAGCCACCATTCTGCCTTCCCTGCCTGCTCCAGGCTTGGACCAGATGGGCACCTAGTTCTGGAGAAATCTACCCTCCCCGACCAGGCCCTGCTCTGGTTCCCCAACCCTCACTCTTCCAGCCCCAACCTCTGTCTCCAGGCCAGGGTAAAAGGATACAAACCTGAAAATAAAAGCCTCCCTGGTCGTGGCTTAGTACCTGAGTTCTAATCTTGGGGACCTCCCCATCGATAAAATGGACTGGGTTGTGTCAACGTGGGTTGGGCAGTGAATCTGATTACCCAGCCCCCATTCTTATCCTAACCTAGAAGCTTCCCATTGGCTTGGGTGGTCTTTAGGAAGAAGGTGCTGACCCCAATTTCAGAATTTAAAGCTGGCAAGGGGGCCAAGAGAACCCGGGGCCCAGCCAGCCCTGGAAGCTGCTAGTCTTCATTTCTGCCTGGGGGGACGTCACAGTGGCCTCCACTGAGAGCAGTTTGTCATGCCCAGAATTAAGTGATTCCAAAAGGGTTTAATTTCAGTTTAATGGCTCTGTTTTTATGTGTAATTAAATACCACTGCATGGCGAAAATATGTTGTTTGCACTTCAGAGAGTGTGTCAGGGGCCAGGAAGCCAATCCCACCTGGCTCCTGCACCCAGGCTCCAGCAGCCCCTCCCCTCGTCTGGCTGGAGTCGGCTAGGTCCTGGGGCAGGGGATGGGCGATGGGGAGCCGGCAGTGAGGAGAGGCAGTCCTGGTGGTGCCTGCTGGCTCAGTGGACCATGTTTCTAATTATCCACAGCACCCCCTTCTGCTCCCCGACCCAGCCCTCCGCAGCCCCTGGGGCCTCAGACACAGAAGGCACAGGTCAATCTTACAGTGAGGATCTAATTAGACCCTTGGCTGGCTGGAGCGGTGTCTGCTCCCCAGTGTGTTTGCCCGAAAGTGCCCCATTGTCTCTCCTCCACTTACAGTTCCCATTAACTCCCCTCCCCCATGACCGGCTCCCCTGACTCATAACCCCGCCCCCCTCCCCCCTCTTCCTCGACCACCCAGCATTCCAGCCGCCCGCTTGCCTCCCGCTCCATCCAAGCACAGGTCTCGGCTCTCGGCAGGTCAGAGGTGACGTTGCCATAGGGGTCTAGAATGCAGGGGGCGTTTCTGTAGCTGGGAAAGTTCCAGGGTCGTTTACCACACAGCCCTCCCACCCCAGGACAGGGGTGAAGAGCAGCAGACGCCCCAAGTTCTGCTTGCTTCATAACATTCCTGGAGCAACTTGGCGGAAATCTGGCCCAGAGGGCAGAGAGGTTGGACGGAGCAGCCTTTTCCTGGAAGGAGTTGAAGCGATGGCCGTGGCTGGAACCTCAGAGCCCTGGTAGGAGGAAGGGCTGGGAGGCTTGGCCAGAGCTCCAGAGATTCCCCCACCTGAATCCAATACTAGAGTCAGTCTAAACAGAGTCCAAGTCTCCATTTTGTTCTCCAGACTCCCACCCTACCTTCTTGCCAGTGGAAAACCCCGCCCCCAACCTTCAGCCAACGTCAGGGCTTGATCTCCACTAATGAGCTGGGAAATGGAAACCAAATGCCTGGTGTGGGTCAGCCCAACGGGCCGGGAGATCCTGGCAAGGTGCCCCGTGCCCCCTGCTCCAACCCACAGTACAGGGGAACAGCATTTTGGGGGAAGGCAGGGCACAGCGCTCAGGGCTGTAGTTTTAGTTCATCCAGGTATGGTGGGCCCGCCAGGACGGACGTAAGAGTTTGGTCCTTGCCACCTCCTCCTTTCTACCTCTGCCAGAGCTGCTGCTGGCCCTGTGACCACTCGAGTGACCATTGCCAGGGTATTTGGAATCTAGGGTGGCAGGGTCTAGGTGCAAATGAGGCCGGCAAGTCCTCTCTGGAGCCCGGTTCTCTCCACTGCAACACTGCCCAAGACAGCTCATTTTGCCCAGGAGAGTGTCCAGATGGACACCGGGCTGCTTGTATCTCCTTCTTTCTGACACCTAGGACCTGGGGGCAAGCGCCAGGAGTGGGAGCAGTGTTTCTGTGGGATACAGAACTCCCCCCAAGTGCGCATCCTCTATTCTCTGATGCTAGACAGCTCCCCCACAGACCCTACAGAGGACACCCAATGAATGCAGGTCACTCATTCCCAGCTGGGGGGAAGCACAGCCTGAGTTTCTTATTCCCTCTCCCCTCACACTCCTTCCGACTCCTACAGCCCCACGCACAGACACACCGCACAAATGCACTCGGCTGCACACACCCAGGCCAGGTTTACGGGCCCTGTACAAGCCCACACTCTCACTCACATTTCAGGTATCCCTTTGCTATATCCGCACACACGTGCACGCACACACATGCACCATAAATAGACATATATCACAAAGGCACATCGCAGGCCGTGTGTGCAGCCTCTTCCCAAGCAGACCCTGCCTTTCCCAGAGGCCCATGAAAGGAAAAGGAGCCCCTACCACCCACTGCCAAGGGTGCAAGGCTAGAGCATTCAGAGATGCTTTAGAGATTTAAAAAGATACTTTTTTTTCCTTTATTGATTTTGAGAGACAGAGGAAGTGAGGAGAGAAACACTGATGACAGAGAACATCAATTGGCTGCCTCCTGCATGCCCCCCACTGGGGATTTGGCCCACAACCTGGGCATGTGTCCTGACCGGGAATTGAACCGGGCGACCTCAACCACTGAGCCCCACCGGCCAAAAAGATACTTTTCTACATTTGGCTTAGGGACCTAAAATTGATCGGCAGCCTACACCCACCTCCTGCCGACATGCCTGGACCTTGGCCCCAGTAGGGGCTGTCTGCAGAGCGGTCAGGGCCAGAGCGGCCCTCAGTCACTTTGCTGTTGTCTGCTGTGGCTGGCAGCGGGCCCACGGTGCCTCCAGACTAGATGGCTGAGCAGAGAGATGTGTGAGGACTGCAGCCCCAGCCTCAAAATGCGGACAGCTTGGGTGCGGTGAAATCAAGAGGCCTGGGGCACCTGTGGCGCTGGGGTGGGGCCAGGAATCCAGGAGACCGCCAGACTGGAGGGTGCCGCCTGAGCACAGCACAGGGTTCCCAGGCGTCCCTGAAAGGGGTCCCCACCCAAGAAATCAGTGCCTGGCACAGAGGTAGAGGAGGGGGAGGGACACTGGGAAATGACCAGGAAACCAATTGTACCACGTGGGCACAAAGTTTGGGGCTGCCACCAAAAGTCCACAGCCTGGTGTGCCCAGGACAGCAAGATCAAAGGTGCCCCTACTGTCAACCCCTCAGAATCAAAGCTCAGCACAACCCCCAGTCAGGAATCCAGGCAGGCAGAGCTGGGGAATGTGCTGGAAAGTTGACCCCTTTTCCCCAGCGTCTGGGCAGTGCCTCCCCCCACCCCTCATTAATAAATCAAATCCAGATGCAGACCCAATCTGCCTGATGCCCTAGGAAATGCCCCAGCTCCACACACCAGCTGATCCCAGAAATAGCTCTGGCCCAGCAGGGCCGTCCTGGCTCCCTCCCTCTGGAGGCCACTGTTTCCCCACCAGGAACCTTGAACACACAGCACAGGCTTTGGAGGCAGGGAGAGGATGGTGAACTGGCTGCCTCTTAGTAGTCCTTTTACCACATAGGATAGGCCTCCCCTCCCCTGGTACATCCCTGTCTTTAACTGTAAATAAATAAGCAAAACACAGTTGTATAGAGTTTTTTGTTTTGTTTTGTTAAAAAAAAAAAAAAAAAGACAAGACATGGCCAACTGGTAGGTCCCTAAGTCTCCTTCCAACCAGTCAGGCCAGAAAATGCCCGGGGGCAGGGGGCAGGGGGCAGGGTGTAGGGGAGGGAGCTGTGGAGGAAGGAGGTGTGGAGCAGAAGGCAGAGCCACAGGCTGTGAGGCACTGAAGGATGGACTCATCCTGGTGATTTCATGGCTCCAGCTGCGAAGGGAAGGAAGCAGAACCCCGGGCAAGCCCCTCACTCTCTCCCCACCCCCAACCCCGCGATGCTGGTCCTTTCCTCCAACAGGCACGTGCAAACCCATCACACATTCTTTGCTCCCACCCTGACTGCTCAGACAAGGGCCCCGCCACCCCGGCCCTCGGTCCTGCAGGCCTTCCTCTGGCCTCTTCCCTATTCCATAGCAGGGACTCAGTTGCCAGGCAACAAGCAGATGGCAGGACACCTAACCCCAAAGCAGGCCTGTCTCTGCAGGTTCTTCCCCCTGGAGGGACCTGGGGAGGAAGAGAAGAGGAGCCTGGCAGCCCTTAGCTGTGGGAGAGGGTCTGGTCTCCTGACCAACTGAGCGTCTGCTACCCCACACCTTCCCTACGGCCTCCACTGGGACTAGACTGAGGGGAGGGACAGTGGTCAAGGTACATATCTACTTGCTTCCTCTGATTATGGGGGTGGGAATTCTCTTTTCCCACAGACTTGTGCTCATCTTGTAGGAGGTGGCCCCACATGTCCAAATCAGAGGAAGTCAGAATATGAGCCCCCAAGGCTGAAAACTAGAGCTGGCATGTAATATGTAGTCAATAAATGTTTTTAGATGAATGAATGAATGAATGAATGAATGAATGAATGAATCCAGGATCAATTTGGAAACACACCAGGGATCCCCATTGCCACTCTCAGACCTCTCAGGCTACCTAAGCCCCAAAAGGACACCCCTAGGCTCCGGCTCACCCCAAGGGCACACCCATGCTCATAAACACACACATACAGCACACACCCCGAGGAAAACTTCTGGGCCAGAGGCAGAGCCAGGACTCAGACCCAGGCTCCAGGTCAGCTCTGCAGCCTCCAGGGGAAGGGGAAGCAGGGGGCGCTGAGCCCCCTGCCTGCTGGTAGGGCTCACTCGCGGAAGCTGTCAGCCAACTGGTGGCAGTCCAGCTCCTCCTTCGGCTCCAGGCCCCCCGGAAGCTTCACTCCTGTCTTCCGGTCCACACACCAGCACTTGCCGCGCTGCCCATCCAGGGCTGGGTGGCACTGTTAAGACAAGGGCATGGAGGTCGTTACCAGGCAAGCTGGTCCCAATCCCATCCTAGCCCCCAAGTCAGACAATTGCTCCAAGACGGCCTCTGAGAGCAGAGGTTCTTTCATGAGCACAAATCTGAGCTATTGGAGTAGAGAACTTGGCCAAGGAGGAAAAGCCCAGAGTTTTAAAAGGCAGAGAGCCCGGAGGAAGTCTTATAGCCTTCCTGGAGGGAAGGCTGGATCCACAGGATTTAGAGGTGAAGCTGGATTTGAAAGGCTAAGGTGCAGGTTGGAGATGTTTTGAGCGTATTCTCATTGGGTTGGGACTTTAAGAATGAGATTATGGGTAATAGCAGGATCCAAGTTGAAGTTAAGGCAGCATCAGGGTAAGAATTGCAGTTGAATTGGGAATTATGACTGAAACTTGAGTTGGGCGAGGCGTAGAGCCCAGGTCAAAAATAGAATTGGGATAAAGACAGAGGTCAAAGTCAGACCAACTAAAGCAGTTGGGCTCAAGTTTGGGTCAGGATTAGACAGGGGGAGGAGGGAGAGCAGGGGGCAAAGGTGTATTTCAGAGTCAGGATTAGAATTGGAGTGAAGGTTATCTCAAGGGTCAGAATTGGTCTGGGGATCAAGGGTCAAGTGTCAGAACTTTCCGTAGGAAAAATTGGGCGAAGAAAATCCATAGAACTGTCAACATAAAGAGTGAACTGTGCCCGGCCAGTGTGGCTCAGTGGTAGAGAGTCAACCCCTGCACCAAGAGGTCGCTGGTTAGATTCCCGGTCAGGGCACATGGCCGGGTTGTGGACCTGATCCCCAGTGGGTGGCATGCAGGAGGCAACCAATCATTGTTCTCTCTCATTAATGTTTCTATCTCTCTCTCTCTCCCCCTTCCTCTCTCTCTAAAATCCATAAAGAAAAAAATATTTTAAAAAATTATCCACATTTAAAAAATAAAATTGGGACAAAAATAAAATTGACGTCAGGATAAAGGCTGGAGATAGGTTTGGCAATGGTTTACGGGGGCCCTTGCTGATCCCCAACTCAATGCACAGCACTCATAACATCCTCACGCCATCCTGGGATGTGTAGGCTCAGGGGCAGCCTTCCTTCTCCCACTTAGCCCTCTGCTGGCCGAGTGGCAACCCACTTTGTGAATTGTCTATAAAGCGTGAAGTGTGAGAATGTGTGTCTATGCCCACTAGGAGCCGGAGAAGAAGCTCCAGGCCTGGGCTCCCCAAGGAATATCTAACACGAGGCACCCTCCTGCTCTGCCCAGATATGCCACCCTCCCATGTGGGCCCAACTCTGACAAGCCAGAGATGGGGCTGGAGAAAGCCAACCTTCTTGAACATCCCAGTTCCTGGGGGCTTGTCAGAGGAACCCATGTTCCAAAGGTGTGAAGGGGCACAGAGGTTCCTACGTTCATGTCTTCTCTCCTGCCCACTTCCTTCCTCTGCTTCCACCCAGAGCCATCTCTAGCTGTCAGATCAGGCATCACCTCCATCCTGGCTGAACCCCAGGAGGTCTGGCTGCTCAGCTCAGGGTAAGGGACAGGCTGTTTCCTCCTTAACCCCTCATGACTTAGTCCCTCCACATCCAGACTTAGTCCCTCCACTTCCAGGAGGGACAGACATTCCATAACAAAGGAGAACTCTCAGAGGAAGGGAGTAGGGTGAGTGAGAAAGTGTTGGGAGGAAGAGGTTGGCAGGAATACTAGGTAAATGTCTCAGACAGTGAATCAAGAGGTGATGAAAATAGTCCTGGATGGGGATGTGCCATTACCTTGCTCTGTGACTTTGGGCCTCAATCTCCTCATCTCCAAAATGAGTGAGGTGGGCAAAATGAACTGAGGTTCTAAGGCTGAAGAGGAGGAGGTTTGGGGAGGGCCCAAGGGCTTGGGCGTGGGTTGGGGAACCTCCCCCTTCCTGAGACTTCCACTCTGGATGACCCTGTCTAATATCCCTGGAGCTGAGGCCAGGGCCAGGCAGGAGAGAGCTGGAGACCAACCTGCTTGGGGTGGAAGTTGCCATTGCGGTCGCAGTTGGGGATGGGGATGATGTAGAGATCCTCGTGGGTGCGGCTCTGTGAGGCGGCCAGCCGCTCCAGGGCCCGGTGCAGCTCGCTCTGGCAGGAGCCCTGGGGCTGGAGGAGAGAGGATGAAACTGCTCAGCAGAAGGGAAGAGGGGCAGGAGAAACAGGGCAGGCTGCCATCTCAGGACTGAAGGCCTTGAAAGGAGAGTCAGGGCCCAGAGGCTAGGCAGGGCCCAGTGAGGTGAAGGGCATGGCTTGGGTTCTGGGGACACTGGTAGGGAAAGCAGAGGGACATTGAAGACAGGATCTTGGGCCAAAAAGCTTCTAAAAAGAAGTTGTGCCCTGGCCGGTTTTGCTCAGCGGTTACAGCATGGGCCCGCGGACCAGAGTCCAGGGTTCGGTTCCCGCTAATGGCATGTATCTCGGTTGCAGTTTGTCCCGGCCCTGTTTGGGGTCGTGTGGGTGGCAGCCAGTCGATGTGTCTCTTGCACATCAATGTTTCTCTCTCTCTTCCCCCCCCCCTCTCCTTCCCGCTCTATCTGAAGATAAATGCAAAAAAAAAAAAAAAAAAAAAAAAACTCCTCAAGTGAGGATAAAAAAAAGAGAGATGTGTGAGTCCTGGCTGCTTTGGCTCAGCCATTAGAGCACCAGCCCAGGGACTGAAGGGTCGAATTTGATTCCGGTCAAGGGCAAGTACCTGTGTTGTAGGTTCAGTTCTTGGCCCCGGTTGGGGTTGTGCAGGAGGCAACCAATCGATGCGTCTCTCTCAGGTTTCTCTCTCTCTCTCCCTCCCTCCTAGTCTCCTTCCCTTCCTCTCTCTCTAAAAATCAATGGAAAAAATATTGTCAGGTGAGGATTAACACACACCAAAAAGGAGAGGTGTGAAGCGAAGGGATCCTGCGGGGAAGGAGCTGTGGAAACTACAAAGAAGGGCTGGAAGGGGGTGATTTCTAAGCAGGGGGGATGAGGGGAATCATGCAACCAACAACTTGTGAGATCCAGGCATGGAGCCATCAGAACCACCCATCAGGAAGGACACTCTCCAGACCTGGAGCAGGGTCCCAAGGCCCCCTCTGGCCAGCATTAACCCTTTAGAACCGAGAAGGTCCCTGGTGGGGAATCCAAGAGAAGGGCCAAGAAATATCAGGAAGCTTAAGGCAACCATGATTTACCAACCAGTACAGAAGTGTTTCAGCATTTGCCAATCACTTCAGCTGTACCAACACAGAGAACTACTGAGCAGGAATGGAATTTTAATAAAAGGAATGACTCTCCAGGTCCTGAGGACATACGCTCGGTACAGCTTGTATACCATAGGCATCCGAAGAATGTTTACTGAATAAACAGAGTCCAGATGTGGTGGTGGTGGTGGTGTATGCGCCTGTGAGCGTGTGTACTTATGGTCAGAGGTCCTCACCACAGGCCGGGCCTCCTCCCGGGGCACCCCGATGACCTTCATCTTGCCCCCACTGTTGCTCCGGTCCCGCATTTTGGCGAAGTGCTTCTGCAGGCACTTGCGGTCGTGGGCGCTGCAGGGGCTGAAGCTGTTGTTGGGGTGGTCGCCCTCATCCTTGTCTGCAGTCAGGCCAAGACGGGGAGAGGTCAGCACCAGGAAAGGTCAGGGCTGCACACCCACCCAGCCTCCCACCTGCTTCCTTCTTCCTGGGGATTCTCCAACCTGACTTGGGAAGAGCAGGGTTTGGGAGCAGGAAACAGTCAAAGCAGCACCATGTCTCCTTCCCACTCCCCTGGATCTCCTCAGGAGAATATTCCCCTTGAAGTCCCGGCCTTGTCCTTCACCCCACCCAGTCCAGGTCTGATGAGTCACCAGCTGCAGCTGCCCAGACAGCAGGGGGGTCCCCTGGGCCCTGCTGGGAGGTCTGAGGCAGGCAGGGGGCCCCCTACCGGATCTTCTCTCCCTCCATTCAGCTCCTCCTACCGTCCCCCTCTCCGTCTGCTCTCTCTTCCTGTCTCCTTTCCTGCTCTTTTCAGTGTCTGGCTGAGCAAGCCAAGGGATCCCCAGGGCTGTCAGCTCTGCTGACCCTCTTCCAAACGGCCAGAATCAAAGTTTCCATGAGAGATGAGAAATCTGACCCAACAGGCTCTCTCCATTGGCCGAACAGGAGAAAAGTGGGCGTAGGTGTATATGCCTGCATGTGAAAGTGTGTGTGTGTGTGCACGCGCGCGTGAGTGTGCACACTTTGTAATGCTCTGTGTGGCCCCAAGACCAAGAGAATACCTTCCACATCCCTTCAGTCCCCTACCCTTAGACTTCAGACCCCATCCAAAGTCCATGTCTATTGCCCAGAGCCAGGGCTTTGGGGATCTGGAGATGGGGGTGGTAAGGCTGGACCTGTACCCCCTGCCTGGGATCTCCTAAAGACTCTACCTGAACTCGAGAAAAACCCAGTTGTAACTGCTGCTTCTCCTTCCAGGCAGCCACATTCAGAATGAAGGGCTAAGCTGGAGAAAGAGGTTGCAGACCTCTCTGCAGATCACAGCCACCTCTGAAATGCTCGGGCTTGGCAGCTCAATGCTGGCCAGAGTGCAAAGCCCCTGCCAGCATTCCAGATGTTGGCAGCCAGACAGAAGGTTACATCTGGTTTGTGTCAGGATTTTTTTTCCTGAGGAGTTAGCAGGTTCCTCCAAGCATGGCAGCGGTCCCAGAGCTGCCTCTGGGTCAAATGGTATTTTTCTGCCTAGCCAAAGTGAGTTGGGTGGAGGAAGGGGGGGGTGTTAGTTCTCTTTTTATTCTCCTAGTCCTAGGGGTGCAGGAGGAAGTATGTGGATAAAGGAAAACCAGGCAAGGAAGAATCGAGACCCTCAGAAAGTCTTTGTCAAGATTCCACACCAAAGGTTATTTATAAAATTGCATCACCAAGGATGGGAAGAAGGCTTTGTCACGAGCAGAGGGCTGGCTTAGAAAGAGGAATCAAAGGGAGGAAATAAATAGAGCAGAGGGATATACCCCATCCTTCGGCATATTTAACATCCCGAGAAGACCAGTCCAGAGGGGACTCCTGACTCAGGGATGACATTAAGTTCCTGAAGGTCAACCAAAGAGAAAACGCCATAGCGAGACCTCCTGGCCAATAGGGGCAGCAAAAGAAGGAGAAGATATACTTCAGAAGACCAGGATTGCGCCGGGGGGGGGGGGGGGCACAGGAAGATAAACCCTGAGCCCTCAATCAGGAAGCAGAGGAGAGATCTTGGATGCAGGCACTTCCCTGAAGACCCTCCCAAGGAGCCCTTCTGGCCAAAAAGGCCCAGGTTGACCAGTGACCATCCCTGCCTGTCCACCTTGCACAAAGCCAGGAGACTTGTGGATGGGATCCACGTGTTCCAGGGGTACAGGCTGGAGCTGGGGAATGAAGAGAAAGAGGACGTGAAAGACCAAAAAGAATTAGAGCCAAATCTTAGACCAATAGAGGCTGAGCTGAGATGTAAATAAAGGCACCACCTCGTTACCTGGGAGAGGCGGAAGGGATCACAGGACTCATTTTGTAATACCCACTGGAGGAGCACCCTCCAAACCCAGGAAGCTTTTGTTGTCTTTCCTTTGAGGGCACTTTCTTTTCATTACCATAAAGGGAAGTGCTGCTTTGCAGTGACACTGATTCCTTTTGGTAAAGGGGCAGAATGTTCTCAGGTTCGAGGAGCAATGGAGAGCTTCCTAACGCGTGGGGCTGCCTCAGGAGGTGGAGGGCCCCATGGTCTGGAGATGTGGAGCATCTGGGTGGTTGGGGCCTCAAGAATCTAGAGCAATCTGGAGAGGAACTTCTACTGCAACCAGGCTTTCCGATGTTGAATTTCTATGAGTCGAAGTCCACAAATGACTAATGCTTGAGGGATTATTAATGGGCATTTGAAAATGTTTATACCTTAATTTAGGAGGTACCATTAAGGAAAATAACTGGGGTCCCTCACTGAAACTTGGGGCTGCATGGAGCCTGGAAGCATAGCTTATGTTCTTGTGTTGGTAGGGCCCCACGTCACACAGAGGAGGTTCCCCGGGGAAGATGAGCAGGCAGCATACCTGGTCTCCTCCTTATGGGTTTCCCCACCACCCAGCACATTCATGCCTAGCTTGTGTGTAAGCTTGGAGAAGAATATACCAAGACAGAAAGGGGAGCTCCTTATGAACACTCACGGGGACATCAGTACACAGAATAGATCCATATCTGCCCACTCAGACAGAGGCTGGGACTCAAAAATCACAAATATATACAATCACGTGTCCAAACACACGCTTGTCCACATGTACTAGGGCACTCTGACCCAGCCCGGGCAGAGACAGAGACCTGAGGCAGGTCACACTGGCTGTACCCTAGCTTGTTGACTTTCTGTTTAATCTATAACTTTTCCTTGCCCAGCACACTGAGGATCCACCCCAGGGTCCACCCCTAGGCACTGGATTTGGGAGGTTGAGGGTTGTAGCCTTGAGCCTCTGAAAAACGTTAACCTTCCCATGTCCAAAACTGGCTAAGCACTTGCGACTTCCCTGCTCAAGCAGGAATTCTAGCCACCCGGTGCTGCTCACCCAAGGGATGCCCTCCGGGAAACCCCAATCCTGGGGGGTTCCCCTCGGAGCAGGAGCTGGAGTCAGACCTAGCCCCCTGAAAGTTCTGACTTCCTGAATTCCAAAAGGCTCGTCTGGGGGGCAGAGCTTCCAAGGTAGTCTAGGTCACCTCCAGCCGCTGCTTGGCGCTCAGCCAATGACATGCGGCCACAGGGGAAACCTTGGTCTCTGCCCCAGCAACAGAGGAAGGGACAGCACCAGCGAAAGGAGAGGCTTCACAGCTTTGGCACTACTGGCTGCAAAGCTCATGGTCAAAGCTGGAGGATTTCCTCATTCTTGCTGCCTGATTTCATCCCCATGATTCCTTCTCCACTCCAACCTCTGCACCACTCAAGACACCCAGGGTGAGGCTGTGAGGTGGATGGGTGTCAGGCATGACTGGGAGGGTCACCCATCCACCCTGAAAGAAAGGCCTTTTGCTTCTTCCACTGGACTCTGGCTGGAGAAGTCAAGATCACCATGTTGGGTACCGGACCCTTTCTTTGAGTTCTGGCTCAAGGGGTGTCTCTCTCACTGTTGTGACATATTGCTGGCTTTGTGCAGCTGTCTCTAGGAAGACAGCTGGCCTGTTCTTCCCATGTTTACAACAGCAAAAGGCACCAAAGTCTGCTCTACCCATCTCGACTCCTCTGAGCATCCCCCAGCTTTGTTCACTGGCCCTACTGTCCCCCAAAGTCCCAACATCAGAGGAGGAATTAAGCATCAAATTAAATCCGTTCAGTTTCCTCTTCATCTCCATCCTCATCATCGCTTCAATTAACTGATTGAACTCTTACTCCATGCCAGACACCCCAACCCCGCGAGGCAGGTCCTACTGTATGCAGACCAGGTGGAAGGGAAAAAGCAGAGGCTTATTTCTGCAGTTCCTATGTCTTTAAATGGAAAGACTCCTGATACCCGAGGCACCAATACTTCTGGCTTTCCTAATACTAAAGAAAAATGTTGAGCGGCCATGCTCCACCTTCCTCCCTCCCCCAAGGCACAAAATTTCTGGGAAGGCCCTGTTCCCATGACATGACTGGATTCCCAGTACTTAAGTAGGGGGGACAGTATTTGCTGTGTTGACTAAAAATTAACCCGGTCTGCCTGTTCCCTAACCCTGTCCTAGAGGGACCCAGAGCACCGTTTAGGAGCTCCCCAGTCCAAACGCTGATGCCACCATCCGCTCCCCCAGATTCCATGAATCCAGGCAGTACACTTATAGAGAACTGTGCTTTCTGACGCACACGTCCCACCCCATCCCCACTTCTGGTGGCCCGAGCGGTGTCAATCCAGGAAGGTGGGGGAACCTGGAGATGGAAGGGGGGACCTGCCCCTGAGGCAGCTAGTAGGCAACTGGACCACAGCAGTTCAGGTGAGGGAGCATGCCAAGTGGCTGTCCTCCCTCAGTCACTTGCTGCAGCTCAGCCCCAAGAGGAAAAGGCAGAAAGAAGAGGCTAGGTCCCCAAGCCTTGGAATCTAGGAGGGACAGTGGCTTATTGACATTGGGAGGCTAAAGAGAATAGTAAGGTTAAGGGCCAAGCCCTGGACACTTTGTCTCATCAGAGACCTTGCAAAACTGCTGCACAACTCTAGGGGGCGCCTTTCCAATGGTGCAATGTGGCCCAGGCTGTGGCAAGGGGTACTTCTGTGATGACTGGGAGGCGAGAGGTCAGGGACTCAGCTTGCCAAGAAGGTGCCTAGTTTCCCCGGGGTCCTCCACACGTAGCCTTTCTCTGTCCAGACTGTGCATGCATTGCATGGTGGAGGACAAAGCCAGGAAGGAGGGGTGAGGGGTGTTAGAGACCCGGCCCTGTGATCCAAAGGGAACCCAAAGCTGCCTTTGGAGGCTGGTTTGCATATTCACAAGACAATCACACACCGTTTATGCCTCCCCCAAAGCTCCCAGAGAAACAGATTTTTCTCCATTACAGGATGAGGTGTTCCTTGCCAGCCAAGGAAAAATGGGTGCCCAAAACCCTCAGAAGGCTCTTCTGCCCCATGTTCCAGTTGGTGAGAGAGGAAGAGGCTACCAACCATCCTAATCTGTTGCCAGATACCCACTGGCCAGTGGAGGAGGGAGATACAAAGAGAATGTGGACCTGTTATCCCCAGGGAGCCCAAGGGCTCAGCCCTCACTCCCAGTCTGGTCTGGTACCAGTACCCTTCCTCTCCCACTGGCACTGCCATCTCTGCCCCCATGATCAACGACTTAATTCTCGAGGACTGCCCCCCTTCCCAGATGTGCTGGGTGCCAGGCTGGCATTTCTCCTAGAATGTTTTCTGCTGACCCATCTCTTGTTGCCCAGGGGCAGGAAGGGCAGAGAGGCCCGAAGCCCAGACCCCTGGGGTCCACCTCCTTCCTGTTTTCCCTGCATCCTGCTCTCCTCCAGCTAACAAGCTGCAGAGGATTGAGGAAGTGGAGCGGTCTGGGACCTAGGGCAGGAAGCTTCGGGCCAGAGTCCCAGCATCCGGACTGCAACAATGGAAGCTTCAAGCACCAGGAAAAAAGACAGACAGAGAGGCACAGGGAGAGCAAAACAGAGTCAGAGAGGAAACAAGAAACAGAGACAGACATACAGAAAGGCAGGCAGAGAGAGAGAGAGAGATTCCAAAAGTAACAGACAGGAACAAAGACAGAAAGAGAAATAGTGGCCCAGAGGAAACAACAGAAAGAGACAGGAAATTGAGAGAGGCAGGGCTACAGAAACAGAAAAAGGGAGTAAGAGAGCAAGAGCAAGAAACTGATAATGAGCAGAAAATATTCAGGAAAGAATGTCATTAGTGAATCTAGAGGCTGAAAGACAGCAGGAAAGAACAAAGAATAAGAGAAAGAAGGAAAGAGACTGAGAAAGATTAGAAGGAGCAACTGAGAGGCTCACTGAGAAATGGATAATAAAAGGAAAGTGTAAGAAGGAGTTTAAGGCAAAGGGTCTTCTAAGCCTGTCTCTCTCTCTCTCTCTCTCTCTCTCTCTCCTCTGCTCCCTATCCCACACCCATTAGGTTTCTGCAGCTGTGGGCTGAAAGCCCAGACTTGCTTCTTTCTGCCACCTCAAATGGCACCTGCCAAGAGAAAAAAGTGGGATGTCTGTGAACCAGGGCAGGAGGAGGTGCCCAGGCCTGGAAGAGAGACCCCTGTCTTCCCAGGACCTCTCAAACAGCTAGGTGAGCTGGCCTGGGGCTTTGGAAAAGGGCAGCTCTGATGCCCCTCACCACCAAAGCCTCTCTAATCTGCATGTCCCAGTCCACCACCTCAATGTCAAAAGTCCAAGCCCTGGCTTTTCAGGTCCCTGGGGTTTCACCTGTGGTCAGGGTGAGAAAAGGTGCCTGGATCAGGAACACAACGCGCCCGCCCCCCAGCCCCACCACTACCATCCCCATCCTCCAGTTATCTGGCTCACTTGCAGGCTGTGGGCTGGGCCAGGTCACTTAATTTTCCACTCTTGAACCACCAGCCAAGACTACTCTCCCCACGTAGGCATCCTTGAAAGGTCTGAGATGGGGGGATGGGATAGAGTCCTTCCTGACAGTGGCAACAGGCTGTTAGAGACTGGATAGCAGTTTCCTTGGCGGAGCCTGTCCCACGCCAGTAGGGCCCTGCCACGTACCTGCCTTCTCCTCAACTTACAGGGGATTTTCAAGGACTTTCCAGGTCAGCCCGATTGGGGAAGGGGCTTCTGGGAGGGGAGCACACCAAGGAGGGCATGCAAGGGCAGAGGCACCTTACCAGAGGGCTGCAGGCTCTCCTGGATGGCCTCGATCTCCGCCAGTTCCATGCACACGCCTTGCCCGTGCATCAGCGTATGCAGGGGCTTCTCTACCCCTCGGGGCGGGTAGCAGCGCAGGCCCGAGCCGCAGCGGGGGGTGTACACCCCGCAGGGCATCCCCTTGCCCAGGGCACAAGTGGCGCAACAGCCGCAGCCGGGCTCCCGCACCAGCTCCTCGCAGCCCACGGGGGGGCGGCAGCGCGCCAGCTTCTCTTCGGAGCAGGGCGGGCAGTGAATGGCTTCGTCTCCCAGGCTCGGCCCGGGCCCGGCGGCCAGCAGCAGCGCGGCCACGAGGCAGAAGGGCAGCATGATCAGGCGAGGACGGGGCGCTGGCGCAAGGTGCGGGCGCAGAGCGCGGGCGCGCGGGCTGGCAGCAGGGGGCACACGGAAGCAGCGCCCGGCGCGCCTGAAGGACCCGATAGGGAGACCGCGGGGAGACGGGGCGGCCCCGCTGGCGGACAGAGAGGGAGCCGGGGAAGTTAGCAAGCGGACTGGAAAGGAGCGATCCTGGCCACCAAGGCGCTGTGCCGCATCCTCGGCCGGGTCCGGGCAGCGGGCGGCGAGGGGTGAGGGGGCTGAGCGGCTGCCCGGGACCAGCTACCCCGGACTTTATACGGGCCCCTGGCCACACCCCCAGCGCCTTCCCAGAGGTGGGGGAGCGGGGTAGGGTGGGGGAGGGCGAGGGGGAGAGGGAGACGCGGCCGTTAGGGGGAGGGGGCGCTTTCCTGAGTCGCAGCCGCCGCCTCGGCTACAACATCTGAAAGTCCTTTTCTGCCCAAGAAGGAAGCGGTGCAGTTTGGAAGCCCTGATAGGTGCCGAGAGTGCTACTGAACCAGAGCTCGGGAGGAGAGAGAAGGGAGATGGGAACGCGAAGAGGCTACTGCTTGGCCCCCTCCTCCGACCTTGGAGGATTCATTCCGGATCCACAGAGGTGCTCCCCCCCCCCCCCCCCCCCCGAGCGAAACTTCGGATCCCGGATTCCTGGCTCCGAGGATTCAGTCTCCCTGGCCAGCCTTTTCCACCCTACCCCAGTGCTTCCAGTTTCAACCAATCGGATGTAGTGGGGGAAGGGGTACAAGCACCCAAGAGGGGCCTAGAAGCCCCTCATGGCCCTAAGACGTTAGTAGGCTCTCTTTACACTTGCCCCTTCCAACCTCCTTCTGCCCCCAATCTCCCCAAGGTCCCAAGGTTCATGTGCCTTCCCCAGAATGGAATCACTGAACTCCTGGGGAGGGAGGTGTCCAGCTTCTTTCTCCTTCCTGGATATTTGCTTTTACTACCCAGACGCACTCCTGGGGTAAGATTGCCATTCTCAGTGTGAAAATTAGGGATAGCACAACTCCAGAGGGCACCACTTCTCTTGTAGTCATTGTAGATTTATATAGCTGTTGTAACAATTTTACGGCAAATGGCAGTCAAGGGTCTTGAGGAAGGGGTGCCTTTTTCTAATTCACCCAATGTTGCTATTTGGGATTGACTAGGCCCTTTGTTCCTATTGGTGCCTGTAACCCCCACCCTTGCCTCAATCTTGCTGATTGGGAGGGCCTCTAGGGTAACATCTGGAGCAGGGACCCATCTCCTAGGTTCTCTCTCAGGTCCACCTAGTACTCACCCATCCTCCCCCACAAACACTTCTGCTGTCCTGGATCTGGCTTCAGGGTAAGGGCAGCTGTCCAGGCATAATCAGTGACCCACTGTGGTGTGGTTCTTTTTTTTTTTTTTCCCCTTTGCCTAGAAAGCTGCAGGGCAGCCAAGCTGAAATGCAAATCAGAGACCCTCTTCCTGCTTCCTCTCCCAGAGCAGGAGTCTTTCTGTCCCACAGGGACTGGGCCCTCTCCTACTTTCTGCAAGTGCAGACTGTCTAAGTGATAGGAAGAAGAGAAGGGCTGGAAGGAAGCTGGACCTGTAGGGATAGAACCAAAAGTTGCAAACTGACGGCACCTACTGGCAACCATCAAGACTGCAGAAGGCCTGGAGAATTCTGGTCAGGGACAGGATTCTAGGATTCTCACTTGTAATTGAAAAATTAAATTAAAAGCCCTGGCTGGTGTGGCTCAGTTGGTTGGGCGTCCACCCATGCATCAATTCCCAGTTGGGGCACGTGCCCAGGTTGCAGGCTTAATCCCCAGTAGGGGGCATTCAGGAGGCAGCTGATCAATGATACATTCTTATATTGATGTTTCTCTCTTCTCCCTTCCTCTCTAATCAATAAGCAGACGAGCAGGTGTGGCTCAGTGGATTGTGCATTGTCCCATGGACTGAGAGGTCCCGGTTGGGTTCCTGGTCAGGACACATAATTGGGTTTGCAGGCTTGATTCTGTGGGGGGCGTGCAGGAGGCAGCAGATTGATGGTTCTCTCTCTCTCTCCCTTCCTCTCTCTCTAAAAAATCAATAAAAAATATATATAAATAAATGAATAAATAAAATAAAAATCAATAAACTATAATTTTTTAAATCTTATTTAAAAAAGAGAATTTAAAAAATGATTCTAGGATTCTCTTCATGCCATCTCATAGACCAACTGGGGTCTCTTCTGTCCCAGAGCTAGGTTCCTCAAGTCCTGGGGGAAAACCCAGCCAGTCCCTGATTCAGAAAACTGACCTGCCCTGGCCGGTTTAGCTCAGCGGTTGGAGCGTCGGCCTGCGGACCAGAGAGCCCCGGGTTCGGTTCCCGCTAGGGGCACGTACCAAAAAAAAGAAAAAGAAAACTGACCCAAGCCCTCTTCCCCTCCTTCATCATACTGGACCCAGTTCTGCCTTGTATGTATGAACGTACTGTATGAACTTGGACACCACCCCTTAGAGCTTGAATGTCCTTAACTGTAAAATAAAGGTAGGCCATCTCCACTTATCCTACCTCTTAAACTCTTATGAGAATAAAATGGGACCAGAAAGGATGGTTCTGAACTCAATGCCAGACTTGTCCCTTGGACAGCAAGGTGCTGGGAGGGACAAAGCTGTGGAGTATGGAGGAAGGAGTGCAGGAGAGACTGGAGTGACGCCAAGAGAAATGCCTGGGATAACGCTGAGTGTAGGAAAACTGGAAAGGTTTTCAGGTGAGACAGGTGTCCACACACCTCTAACCCAGCACCACCCTTCAATCCATGCTCTGGTGCTGCCCGCCCACCCCCCCCCCCATCACTGTCTGGGATAATTCCAAGGAGGCAGGAAAATGGAGGCCTTCCAATCACCTTCCATCATTCATGCAACACACATTTACAAAACACCTATTGTGCACAGCCTTTGTACTATATACAGGGGATACAGAGGTTGCCGAGATCACTCTCTGTCCTCGAGATCACTCTCTGACCTCGAGCTCACTGCCTAGTGAGGGGAGACAGGCATATAAATAAAATAAGTTTAAGAAGTATGCAGGTGCCCCAGAGGGTATTTACCTGGGGCACAATGGGGACCCAGAGGCACAAGTGGTCAGTTCTACATCCAGGACATGGAAAGACTTCATGGAGGAAGTGAACCTTGAGCCAAAGTTACATGATCTTCCATGTTAGCATCAGACTGACCTGGATTCAAATCCCAGCCTTGCCACTGGACTCACTGTAACAAGTTACTTAAGCTCTCTGAGCTTCACAGTCCTTACCTGGAAGAAGAGACTTTGCAGTAAGAAAGAAAGAAGGGTGGGGAGGGGAGAGAAATACTGGCTTGTGCAAAGTGCCCAGTACGCAGTAGGCATCAAGGGTGTGCTCCCTCCTACCCTTCCCTCCTGGAAACTCTAACTGCTTCACATGGCTGGAGATCCCCTGGTGGCAAGACCTGTGTCACCTCCACTGGATTGAAAGCTCCTGGAGGACTGGTTTAGTCCTCTCCCTGGTGTCTGGGAGAGGCTGTATACAAAGGGCATGAGATTTGGAGTCAAAGAACCTGGATTCAAGTTGCATATGCTGGACATGGTTCTAAGAGCTTTGTTCATATGCACTTCACAACCACCTCATGAAGTAAGTGTTGTCATTGTCCTCTTTTTAAGACAGAGAGGTATGTAAGTTATTCAAGGTCACATAGCAAGTAAGTGGAAGAGCCGGGATATGAACCCAGGCAGTCTGTATGATTAACCTCTATGGTTTACTGCCTTCCAAAATAGCTGTCACAAGCATTCCAAACAAATGCCAAGGATGAAAGACTTTGGTACAGATGCACGCTGGCTGTGGGATCAGAGCAGAGGTAGCATTAGTGTGGGACTGGGCCCCAGGCCTCCCCATAACTTTGGCTTCCCAGCCCCTCCCTGGCTTCTATGGGCTGCCCACTGTGCCCACACTGAGTAGGGAGCTCAGCTTCCCTCCATGTCAGCTGATGTCCAGGCCCCAGGTATGGCATCCTCCATAGTCACCCCAGGTGTGTGGGCTGAGCAATGCCACATTAGTAAAGGTGCCTCTTTGGCCAGCAGGGTGCCACTCTTGGAGAGACCAGATTAGGAGAGTGAGAATCTCCACAGAGACCCACAGAGGAGGTCTGGTCTAGAGGACAGAGCCTGAGTCCTTAACTTAGGACATTTGGCTCAAGAAGTGAACACCCAGACAGGGGAAGGGGTGGGGAGAGGAGAGTCCATCTGCAGTTGGGATGCCCAGGATCTGGTTTCATACCTTCAGTCCAGCCAGTTCTGCTCCTTGCCAGCTTTGTGGCCACTTCCCCTTCCTGAGCTTCTGTTTTACCATCTGTAAAATGGGGGAGGGGAACTCACTGAATTGTGAAGACCCTTCCAGCTTGGACAGTTTAGGAATCTAGATCTTCTGGAGTCCTTTTGCATGGTCCTAGGCCCAATGCTGGCATGGCTCCGAACTCTCCAGAGTTGGCTGTTTCTAGGCCAATTAGCACCAATGGAATCTTTCTTATTGCCCAAAGCCTGTGCGGGAGGTAAGCCAACATTCGCACCATGGGGGTACCAGAAGGAGGAGAGAGAGAGCAAGAAATTGAATACCTATTTGAAACAATAATGGCAGAAAACTTCCCTAACTTGGTGAAGGAAACAGACATACAAGTCCAGGAAGCACAGAAAGTCCCAAACAAGATGAACCCAAAGAGGCCCACACCAAGACACATCATCATCAAAATGCCAGAGGTTAAATACAAAGAGAGGATCTTAAAAGCAGCAAGAGAAAATTAGTTTGTTACTTAAAGTCCCATAAGACTATCAGCTGATTTCTCAAAAGAAACTTTGCAGGCCAGAAGGGAGTGGCAAGAGAGATTCAAGGTGATGAAAAGCAATGACCTACAACCAAGATTACTCTATCCTGCAAAGCTATCATTTAAAATCTATAGACATATAAAGAGTTTCCCGGACAAGAAAAAGCTAAAGGAGTTCATCACCACCAAACCAGTATTATAGGAAATGCTGAAGGGTCTTCTTGAAGGAGAAGAACAAAAATATGAACAATAAAATGGCAATTAATACATATCTATCACAATTGAATCTACAAACAAAATGGGCAAGCAGAACAGAAACAGACTCATAGATACAGAGAAATTTTTGTTTCTTGCCAGATGGGAAGGGGCTGGGGGGATGTGTGAAAAAGGTGAAGGAATTAAGAAGTACAAATTGGCCCAGCTGGTGTGGCTCAGTGGTTGAGCATTGACCCATGCACCAA